GTTTTTTGCCACGTGCTAGTTTTCTTGGCTCATTTGTACTGCAAGATATGTTTTAAGCTCTCTAAAGATTGGCTTTGCAGGAACAAAGATTGAAATATTCCGTGAGCATGTTGGTTACTTGCATTTTGTATTATTACGCCGGGCCCGGCTGTTTGATTTACTGTTGCAAGTTATGCTGCTTGTTAACACGGGTGTCATATTTATCTTTGTCCGGCTTCGCCAGAAATAGTGGTAGCTTTCCTTGTTGAAAGCTATGAGTATGTCTTAGAGAAATGAGAGAAATAAATGTCCGAGAGAAATAAATGTCTGAGAGAAATAAATGTCAGAGATATTGTCCATCGCCCATCATCCATCGTCCATCGTCCATCGTCTATCGTCTATCGTCTATCGTCTATCGTCCCAGAATCCACCGTCTGGGTTTTAGTACATGCCGTCCTTATGGCTAGTCACGCGAAGAGCCCAAAGAGCGCTTGCCATGGGACGAAATATTCTGTTTTTACTCGACTTTGTTCTGTTATATCATATCGCAGTTAAAACTGAGAAAAACTTTTTCTGATGGCAATGAAAAAATCCTTAAAAGCTTACTGAAGCATTATGTCCACAATGTCTATTTCAACCATGCAAAATATTTTGCAGTTCGGGAATACTTTGGAAGAAATTTTAATGCTTTAATCTGTGCACTTGACCTGTCATTGTCTTCATCGACTTTATACCAGAATTAGAACTACGTTGCCTCACGCAGGAAAGTAGATAAAACTAGAAAAGAACAAAACAAACCAGAAATTGTAAAGAGAAAAATAATATGGAAAATGATGTAAAGAGAAAAAATGAAAAAGGAGGAACAGTTGGAGTAAACGTGAAATTCGTCAACAATAAATCGAACATTAAAACACTTGATACATTAAACGGATATTTGGTCAAGGACGCGGAAAAAAACTGGACAAAGAATTACGGTTCATCTTGTACGCGACCGGAAAGATATTACATTTTATTAAATGCACATCAGTGAAAACTACAAAGATGTATTAAATTACTTTTTAACACAAGTCGAATTTTTCGTTGCTTCGCTATCGCTTTTAAAAGCCTTATGATTAACTAAAATTATTTTAAAAAATACGTAATAAGCTTTCTCAAGAAGTCGTACGTCTGATTTTGTTCGCGATTTGCCGCTTGAACGTCGGCTATGTTATCAAACTCCAAGTGATATCAACTGCCTTTGAAGAGTCAATAACTTGAGGTTAAAATTATTATTAAACTAGTCACGGTTCAGCCACGGTGTTTTGGCCATGGGCAAAATCTTAGGCCAAATTTTTCAAGATGCTTAAACCGTGACATGGCTCCTTTAAGGCGAACATTTGTTGGAATGACTCACTTTCCGCGGATGTTAATTTTGATCGTAAAGGGCTCAAAAAGAAATATGTCACCGGGAAGGTTAAAAGTAATGATATCGAGATTTACCGTAAATCCTCAAGTTAGTGCCTCCCCCCTCCTCGAATAATCGCCCCCTTCAAATAAGCGCCAAAACTATCGGCCAAAACTTAGAATAAGCGCTCNGGACCAACTAACGATCACTTGACGCAGGAAAGTAGATAAAACTAGAAAAGAACAAAACAAACCAGAAATTGTAAAGAGAAAAATAATATGGAAAATGATGTAAAGAGAAAAAATGAAAAAAGAGGAACAGCTGGAGTAAACGTCAAATTTGTCAATAATAAATCGAACGTTAAAACACTTGATGCATTAAACGGACATTTGGTCCAGGATGCGGAAATAAACTGGACAAAGAATTACGGTTCATCCTGTACGCGACCGGAAAAATATATATATGTTATTTGCCGCCTGGGAGGTCCGTATGGTGAAAAACTGTGACCGAGGTCTTGAAAATGCTGGCCGAGGCCGCAGGCCGAGGGCAGCATTTTCAAGCCCATCTCATGTTCATTTTTTTCTTCCTGCAGTAAATTTGTTTTATACATTACAAATAGGTTTGTTTACGCAACACTTGTCATTGAATCGGCTTGCGCGCCGTCTGCTAACGATTTGAAAAAGATCTTGGCAACGAGCGAGTTACTCAGATAGTAGAAAAAGAAAGATGTATTAAAAAAAACAGACTTTTTTCGAACTACTTTGTGTTAGTTGCATTTATTTCACCAGTTAAGTTCTCCAAAGTTGTTTTTGCGGTGTGAAATTTTGTGCGAAGTTTGAAGTTTTACTACAAAAACGATTTCTGTCAGTCGTTGCTTTTAAAATCACTTCGTCCCTTTTCTACCGTAAATTGAATAGCAGAAAGCGAGGAAATCCGTTAAGTGTATTACACAGAAATTCTTCTAAATACAGTAACGATCAGAAAGGTAAACTCGACTGAAATTGACTCAAATTTTACGGCGAGAGAAACACAGGATTACGCCCCATTACAGCGTCAAGCTACAAACAATTATAAAGCAAACTCTCACAACTTCAAAACACTCAATTGAATTTACTTACAGTGAC